CGCCCTTCCCCGATCGCGAGGCCGTCGGGGTCGATGCCTTTCGGCTAGACTGGTCGAGGTGGGGGTTCCTGTACCTCTTTCCCCCGGTTCGGCTGTTGCTCCAGGTCATGACTCGCTTGGAAACTTACCAGGGGAGAGTTGTCCTTCTGGCCCCTTGGTGGCCGGCCCAGCCTTGGTTTCAGGCGCTGGTTGCTCGGTGTCCGAACCCGAGGGTTTTCCCGCGGCTCCGCCTCTTTCAGCAGATCGGGCCGGTACGTCACGTGGCTGGTTCGATCTTCTCCTCGAGTCTTCGCGTATGGTTTTTTTTGACTCGAGTCTATCATCATCTCTATGGTGATCAGGTGGCCTCCTTGTTGGTGTCCCTCCTGAGGGCTTCTTTTCGGCGGCAGTATGAAGTTTCCTGGCGGTCCTTCCGTTTCTTTTTGCGTCTTCGTCGTGTTAGTTCCTTGTCTGTTCGGGTGGTCTTGTCCTTCCTCTTGTGGTTGTTTCGGGACCGTCATCTTATGCCAAACACTGTCGCTTCGTATCGTGCAGCGCTGGTGGAGCCGCTTCAGCTTGCTTTCAGTATCGATGTTAGGTCTGCGCCGTTTCGCAAGCTGTCTCGTGCATTGTTTCACCTCCGGCCTGCTCATGCGTCGCCTGAGCCGTCCTGGTCTTTGGACAGAGTGCTCGTTTTCCTTTCATCTCCTCGTTTCGTTGTGGCCCCTTCGGTCCAGGATTGTTTTTCCAAGGCTCTTTTCTTGTTGGCTTTGGCCTCTGGGGGTCGGGTAGGGGAGCTTCATGCTCTCCTCCGGCGCACGGGTTTCTGCTCTTTTGGTCGTGGTGCTTGTTTTGTTCGTTTGCAGCCGTCTCCTTCTTTTCTGGCGAAGAATGAGACTGCTGCGTTCTGGAGGGGTCCATGGGTGGTCAGGCCGGGGGTGCATCATGTTTTGTGTCCGGTTGCGGCGCTTCGCCGTTATTTGCGCGCCACAGCTTCTGTGTCCGGGGATGTGCTGTGGGTTGATCCGGTTTCCCTTCTTCCCTGTTCGCGGGTTTGGGTCTCTCAGGTCGTCCGCAGGGTTATTAAGTCCAGCCAGCCTGCGGTCTATCCCCGTGCCCATGACGTTCGTAAGTTCGCGGCTCTTGCTGCCGTCTTTGGGAATATGTCTTGGTCTGATATTCGGGCGCGGGGATTTTGGCGGTCGAACAGGGTCCTGGCTGCTCGTTACCTTGTGAATGTCCCTGGGCCTCGTCGGGCCTGTGTTGCTTTGGGTCGGCGGTTGCAGCCAGTTGTCTCGGCTTCGAGTTGAGGAGTGAGCGACGACCGCCTCCCGGGTAAGTCCCTCTTTTTCTGTCTGTGGGTAGTTAGCTCCGGGGAGCCGACGGGGCTCCCCCCAGAAAACCAGCATTGAATGTAATGAAACGCCATTTTCTGGGTGAGTCCCGGAGGCTCCCCGGCATCCCTCCCTCCCTCCGGTCGGCGGTTTTTCGCGTTTTTGACATCCAGCCTCAAGAACTGAGGTGTGGGTAGCCGGCGCGGGGGGTCTGGGGCTCCCCCTTCCCCCTCCCGGGGAGGGGGGAGCTGTACAGACAGCGGCGCGGCGGTGTGTGACGTCACACTAGTTTGCTTGTTTTCGGTTGGGGAGTTCTATCCACTAGTTCGGTTTTTGGTCGTAATTTTAACCAGAATAGGGTTTGTTTTGAGGCGCTTACCTTTCTGGGTGCCTGTTCCGGTCGATGGCAGACATAGAATGCTTCTAACCACACGGGGGCTTCTATAGGCCATTGCTCCCCTTGCCTCTCTGAGGGGACCCGGTTCTGGCTGTGGTCCCCGGTAGGCCTAAGAACTCCATACACATGACTGATGCCAAAGTCTGACATTAGCATATCAGCCTGGGATAGCTCCGGGGAGCCTCTGGGACTCACCCAGAAAATGGCGTTTCATTACATTCAACGCTGGTTTTTTTCTGTTATTACACACTATATATAAGTGTCTACATTTGTGTTCACTATAACGAACCACTAAGCTTGTATGGTGACGGCAGACAGTAACTGGTAGCCACACACAACTAATGCTCCCTCCCTTCCTTCTTCCCTCACTGGTTCAAGGCCAGACGCACTAATATTCCTCCTTCAAGTATACTGTTTGTGATGTTATTACACTATATACACACACATTATATATATATAAGTATCTACATGTTTTGTTCACCATAACTATACAAATAAGCTGGTATAGTGCCCAAAGAGCATAGTGACCACCCTTACACAGCATGATAAGTCATGTAGATGTTGCCACCTCCCTCACCAAAATGGCTTCTCCCACCACTCCTTTTTGCTGTTATTACACTATATATACACGTTATATATAAGTATCTTCATTTGTGTTCACCATAACGAACGACTAAGTTGGTATGCCGAGTCAAAAAGCAGCAAGGAGTGGCCGGCACACCAGGCAGCTAGCCCCTGACCACCACTCCCTCCCTCACCTCACCTGACTTGCCAATATTCTCCTCCCACCATACTGTTTTTGCTTTTTATTCACTATATACAGACATTATATATAAGTATCTGCATGTTTTGTTCATAGCAAACCACTAAGTTGGTATAGTAAGTGCAGACAGCAACAGATGGCCACACAGATTCGGCAGACGACGCTACAGCCCTCCCACCCTCAACATTACTCCTCCCACAGCACAGTGCAAATTATCACAATCTTGCTATTATCAGAATCCTGGTCATTTTTATCACAGTCAGGGGCCTTCTGTAATACTATCATCGCTAAATAATACCAGTTACATATATTTTTAACATTTTTAGGCGATGCTGTGGTCACAAGCTGAACAGCAGTGCTGTGAGCTCATGCTGCATGTGCCAGCCTTGGTGGCTCACTCAGTACTGAGGCCCTAACATCCGGGAATTTTGCCCACAATTTTTTTTAAATGACGTCTGTTTACAGAAGCTCTGAGGAAAGTGATGTGAACCCTGTGTATCCGCGGGCTGTTTAAATCTTGCGTAGTACCCCAAAACGTCATATGACCTGATGCACACTTTCATGTTAGTTACTCAATACGTCATAAAGGGTTAACCACTTCTTTTAGTGACTAGGCCAATCCTATGAGTTTTGTCATTTTTTTTTTATTGCTTTAAATATACCACTTGTGAGCCAGGGGTTGTTTAATTTTTTGGCAGTTACACTGTCTTCTCCTTACCAGGCACGTATATGTTGTAGAGGCTTAGAGTTTTGGAAAGGAAGATACTGTATTGGCTAATGAATTTATATCCTGAAAAAATTATTGTAATCCCGAATATAGGATACATCCGAATACATTCTCATAAAGTGACAGCTGTCTGCCAAGCTTCTTAAGTTTTGTGTTCTGATGATACTAAAATGTGTCATCCGACTGCTATTCATAAACATTTGCATATTCATTTAAACATTTGCATATTCATTGCTGTTGCACATAATCTATTATAAATACATTTTTGTTATTACATCTGTTCCTTAGAGAATTCATATGTCAACATTTGGACACCAAATTTATAGATATAACCCAACAAATAGCATAGAAAACATAGTGATTGTAAACATTTTAAACATTTCGGAGTGTAACCTGCTAAGGTTGCTATATTTATAGTCGGGAATGTGCAGAGGATCATAATCTATTATAAATACATTTTATTTTTACATCTGTTCTTCAGAGAATTCATTTTCATTCATTTTATGAATGAAAATTCATTTTCAAATATTGACTCTTCCTACACAGAGAAGTCAATGACTTGTGCACCACCCAATGTGAGGCTCCCCACCCTGGTGGTCAGGCCTCTCAATGGTGAACTCCCATACACACCAGAGAAGTAGACATCAGTGCAGGGGGCAACTCTAGACAAGCACTTGTAGCTCGAAGCATAAAATTGACAGGTACATGCAAGATTGCCAAATCCTTGCAAGAGTACCAGGAAGTAAACACATGCGTGTTAAAAAAATGTTAAAAAAAAAATCAATTGATACAAAAGCAAAATGCCCTTGCAGAATAAAGTTTGAAAGATGGCCAGCACTTAGCTGAGTAGCAGTGGGACCTGCTGCTACAGTTAGACTTGGGTAGCATATTATAGGTTTCAGTTACATCAGTGAGAGGACTGAGCTTGGAAGTCAGCAGTTGGTCAGAGGCTTCGGGCTGCCTGGTGGGGGATTTTCATACTAATGGGTTTGAGCTAGTTTTGAGTGAACTACTTGTTCTGAATTAATAGTTTGCAAAGTCATTTGGCCATTTCAATACTTTGTTTTCTATGAACCTTGCATTCGTCAGTAAAGCTTTGCTGACTTTCTGGATGTTTACCCAGTGAGGTGACTGTAATAGTCCTCTGCTCTCTGCACCTCTGTAGAGTGGCCAGGTTCTAGCTCTGGTATGCCATACAGGACTCGTGCAGTTGATATGACCCAGCAATGGGGAGCCAACTCAATGAGCTTAAGGGAACCACCAAGGGGCTCCTCCCAGAAACGATAATGATGGGAAAAAATTGTCCAACTAAATTCCAGATAAATGTTGCCAATCAGAGAAAGAATGTCAAACTTCAAGTTTCTGTACTCTCATAAACCCAATTTACCTTCTTGTATATAAATAAATAAATAAATAATTAAATAATAAAATTTATGGATTAATATATTTAGTGTGTAGATAGTAGGGATGGTAAGTTGACCCCACTCTATGATCTCTTGAGGTAGGAAAACCTTCCCATGTCCTACCTTCCTCCTGTATCTCTCTGTCTGTACATTTATTTTTGTTTTAAACATTCTATAGATTCAGAATTATAAGTACTAGGGTCTTATTATTTTGTTGTTAAAAGACGTAAAATGTTTTTGTAGACAGCCTTAAGATTTATAATGGAGGTTAGTAGCTGGTGCTTGTTTATATGTCATGTGCAGTATTGTACAAAATTGCATGGCAGTAATAATATTTCTTTAGTATACTGCCATCTTTTTATTACAATATTTCTTAATAAATTAATTTCTTCTTCAGAAATACGTGAACTTCCTCTATTATAAGAGAAGATTAGATAAACCATATTTGTATGGAGTGATGACAACTCAAGGAAACAACTCTGCATCAGAAGGGCACAAATAGCGTTATTCAGTCAGGCTTTAATGTAAGTTACAAATCAAGTAAAAAAACTTGAAAAATTGGTATGTAGTGCATGCAATAAATGGCGGTATATATATATCAAGACATGTTCTACAAAAAAAACTGAGTGTCTCAATTACACAAAATGCCACCAAAAAGGAACAAGAGCCATCAAACTCAGGAGCAGGAGGTAGATGCATCTGACAACTTGGAGCTAAGATTCAAAGTTCCTCACAAAAACTTGAAAGAAGATGACATATGCACCAAAATCCAACAAACACAAGCTAGGGTGAAAGAAAAAGAAGAAGCTCTTCGCAAGTTGAAATTAGTCAAAATGTATCGAACCAAATGGGAAACACAGTCCTTGGAAGCAGTAACAAGCCAGTGGCTGCGAGTGTGTCAGGAAGCCTTGGAAGATCTTAGAGTGAAAGCAAGAGAAATAAAGAGTAGAGAGACTGGAGAAGAAGAGCTAACATTGTTAGTTCTAATAAATAATCTTGGTATTGATCCTCAGCTTTTAAAGCTTGATGAGAATGAAGATTGTTTTAATGCTTAGTTAAGGTTTCAAAATGTATAACCTAATTTCTATACAGTATGTATTAAGGCTAAATTATGCTACATGGTTCTGAGTTTTTTTGTTTATTTTTTTCCTATAAGAGCTTTATTTTGGTGAATGCATCATTAGTGAAATCTTGTTTGTGAGAACGTTACAGCTTATGATTATTGTCAGTATTAACCAACACAGTTTAGTTGTATTTAGTATAATTTAAACATCAACAGTACCTTCTTGGCAAAAGTATAATGTGTGACTTTGTCTATTGTTCATATACAGTACAAAATAAAAATAAGGAAGCAATTTAAGTCTTACCCCTTTGCATCTGTCGACATTTTTAATTTTTGTTTTTTAACCTCCAAAATGTTTCTTATTGCTACAATTCATTCATTTGTGTGTATTTCTCTAATAATCATTGGAGTACTTAAATGTAAAGAATTACATTTGAATTACATTAAAAAATTAAGCATTGTATTATATAGTGGGTTTTTTCCTTACCATTTATGCCATGCATATTCCGTATTATTTATGTTTACACTCTTAAGAGTATTCTGTGTTTCTTCCTGCAAATCATGTATTAATTTTGTGTATCATATGTTTTCTGTAAGGTTTTATATTTTTAATTTCTAAAAAAAACTTTGATAATTTCTGCAATTAAAAAAAAATTCTGAATATGAACACAGGCTAAAATTAAAGAAAATTTTCCATAACCTTTGTTTGATAATTCCTTTGTTAATTACTTCAGAGAAAAATAAAAATTCTTCCAAACCAACACTGAAGATCTAAAATGGATTAAACTACAAACAATTCAATATGCATACATTTATTCTGAATTTTCAAAAATATATTTAGTTCATGAAATGAAATTAACATCTGAAAAATGTAACAAGCATGCACTGCTAGTCCTTAAAAGAATATTTACAGTTTATATACTATACTGTAAAGCTATTATCACAATGTTTTGCTTTCTTAATGAAATTGACAACAGTATATAAGATTAAATACACAGGAAATCACTAATGTGGTACATATCAATGAGAAAATCCACTGGGGCTCTATGCAATGCAATGCCTTGGTAGCAGGTTTATGTCGCCTCAGAGCCCCACTAGATTTTCTATAAGATTAAATCTTTAAAAAGAAGATAGATGTGTGCAAGTTCTATACCTTTACCATTACTTAATGAGAGTATCACTGACAAATGTTTTGTTAACGACCGTATACACCTAAATGCTGCAATTCCAACTTTCACTTCACCTATCCTCTTGTGTTTTACCACATCTATAGAGAATTATCTCTATTGAAACCTTATGTCTTAATAATTTGTGTTTGCAAAACACTCAATATTGCATGTGTATCTTTACCCAGATGTCTAAACAATGTACAGTGCTTACATAAGATGTTCAAACTCTGGGAAAAAACAAGTGCAAGTCATTTCCCCACCTCCCCATTTCAAACAAGTTGTATTTAAAAGGAAAAGGTAGTTGGCCAACATTGTCTTTATGCTAATCTTAAATTTCACATTCAAATAACAGATATTATGAAGGTTACAAAGAGTGCAAGTTGGTTTAGTTATTATATGTGAAGCATAGTAGTTACCAAACTAATAATGTGTATAAAGAATTTAATGAATTCAATGCAATATACTGTATGAATGAAAAATATATTTTATAAATTTATTGAACCCCTTTAATAAAATTTATAGTATGAAGTAAATTCTTGGTGTGATCGTAAATTTTAAAAATTAAGTGACTAGCATGTAAATTGCCATTTCTATACTGTATGTCATTACTAAACTTTGATAAGCCAATTTACAACCAAAAATAAATTATTTACTCATAAAGTATGTATCTACAGTATAAACTATATTATGCTGATTAAAAGAAAGTGTGTTATACTCTTCTCAATCCTTTCAAAGCCTTCAACACACTTTGGATAGCTAATTACAATCATCATTTTTATGCTCCTAAGACACACTCATACACAGTATTAACATACACAACTTATTAAATGGTATGCCCAAAACACCAAACAACAACTCACACTCTATGACTGTACCTATATTAAGCATTAACAAAGTTACATCATGACAATTCTTTATACAGATACACATTTGTTAATTTAAACTCAAAATTACAATCTTTCAGTATGTCTCCTATTATAATTGTTTTAAAAATTCAAACCTGTTATCATTCATGCTGTGTACAGTATACTATGCTTTATCATGTAACACTATTTTACATGCACCTGCTCCATGTATGTATTACAGGTCTAATATTGCCCTCGACCATCTTCATCGGGTTATGTTACACAATGTTCAATCTTGCATCAAACAGATAACCCCATTAGGTATTGCATCATTTCACTTTACTGTACCATGATCAGTTACTTCATACCTTTACTTTAATAAATCCCAGCCAGAGGCTTAGGGCCCGTGCAGGAATATCCCTAAAAAAAAAAATAAACAAGGGAAATTCCAGTACAGTAGTCACTATTGTTTTTCCTGAAGCCGCTGGATGACATTTTCGGGCTGCATGGAGGAATAAAAACTGCATTATTGGAAATGTTAACTGTCACTACAAAACTTCAGTTAACACTACTGAACTGCCACAGTTACTTTACACAGCATAGTTACCAAAATAAAAAAAACTAATTTTAAGATGAAAATCCATAAAGTTTTATGTGCGTGTCCAAGAATGTTTCAAGAGTTCAATGGTTACACAAGTACTGTACCTGGATTATACCTGGATAGGGTTCCAAGAGTTGTTCTCCCCAAGCTCAATTTGGGGTCAGGTTTGAGTTGTGAGAGCTTGATCCAACAGGCTGTTGCTTGGAATAGTCTGACAGCCCACATATCCACTACAGCTCGGTTAGTCCAGCACTTCTTTAACCCTTAACATGCTCGGGGTCTAATATCCTGCTATCCACACAGGCGCATGTCATTTTGAAAAAAAAAAAATAATTTTTTTTTTTTTGCTAATCTGTTAAGTTCTGTTCACTGATCACGGGAAAAATAAAAAAAAAATTCTATTGTACTTACTTTTGTTGCAATAGAGCCGAGAAGCTCGGTGATGACGTCACAATCTGCATGTTCGCTCATGCAGTACACGCCCGGGAGGTGTTGCGCGCGGTCCTCAAACAGCCAGAGTTGCCACAAATATATTTTCGCGCTATTTATTTACAATGTCTAAGCGCATTTTATCTAATTTTTTTTCACTAATTGTGTTTCAAATACTGTTTGAACATATTTTGTATCAATAATTGTTGCATATTTGAGTATACACAGGCGCACACAAATGTTTTCAATTACGGCAATATAATATGTCATTACAGTCTATTATATTATATGTTCTGCTTATATTTGTATATATTTACACACACGCACACGCTATCTGCTTATATGTTTACATATTTACACACTTGCACACGCTATACACACTTGCACACGCTATACACACTTTGAAGCACACTTAGAAGATTTCTAGACTGTGGTAGTCATTGAAGCAGTCGACAGCACATAATGGGATACCACACGTTTCACACCATGTTTGCACAAGCTTCCGTTTCTTGTCTCTACGTGTCGTTGTTTTACACACCAAGCAATCACGTTGGGCTATTGCACGCTTCACACCAGGTGGCAAATACTTAAGTTTGTGTGCTAGGAAGCCTTCAGTGTGAGCGAGGCGTGGAGTACCAGCATGCTGCAACAGTGGGTTTATGATGGGCCGCTGAATACCTGGGACATCTTTTGCAAACTTTCCTAATAACTGTATTGCAGCATCAAATACAAAGTCACGGAAAGTGGGCTTACGTCCAGTTCTCACAAGGTACATGTTGAAACAGTTCAGCATGCTCATGTCCACAAGATGGAAGAACACTTTTTTCGTCCACCTACATGTCTTCCGCACACACTCTGCAGTGCCAATCATCATGTCTGATTTATCAATCAACCGCATGTTGATATTATAGTCTAAAACACAGTCTGGCTTATATAGTGGTGCGTTTGTTTTATGGCTCACTTTCCCACTGTTCACCATTGTTCCATCATGAATTGTTGTCAACAAGTTCACCTCTCTTTTGTCTTTCCACCGAACTGACAGAATGTTATCACTTTTCCTTCTCTGACACTCACCAACTGCAATGTCGTTGTCAAACACAGGCATTTCCCTTCGTTGTGGCTTTACTGTACCAACCAATCCGGTTCTATTTTCTAGCAAGAACCGAGCTAGCAAGGGACTTGTATAGTAATTATCTGTGTATAAAATGTGTCCCTTGTTCATCCACGGAGCCATGATGGTCTTCACTACACTCCCCGAGAATCCATGTTCGTCGTTACCGGGAATGTCTACATCACTAGCCGAGTACAGAATCATGTGTAACACGTATCCTGTCTCACAATCACAAAGAACAAAAAATTTCAGGCCAAATCGGTTTCGTTTTGAGGGAATGTACTGTTTGAATGGAACACGTCCCTTGAAAAGTATGAGAGATTCATCAACCACCAGCTTCTGTGCTGGTACGTAAAAATCTCTGAATTTTCCAATAACATCGTTCATGTAGTGCCTCACTCGCCACAGTCTATCATCAGATGTTCGGTCCTGAACACTTCCAAAATGTAGACACCTGAGGAGTATCTGAAACCTGTCTCGTGACATATATTTCCCGAATAAAGGTGTTGGTATTGTCTTGTCCTTGCTCCAATAGTCATTTATTGCATGTTTGTGACAGTGCTTCATCAACAAACAGAGTGCCAAAAACACATACATTTCCGCCACTGTGGTATTTTTCCAACGCTGCAGTCGTGAAAATTCTGTGATTTCCCTCTCAATCAGGTAAGCAGCATGCAGGTTCGTTTGGTGTACAATGTATTCCATGAGTGGTTCATCATAGAATGCTGTAAAATATTCCATCTCAGCCATGTCCTCACCTTGATTAGGGAAAAGGTTTGTAATCCCTACATCTTTATCGTCAAAGTGAGGAATATTAGGAATAAAATCGTCACCATCACTCCACTCAAGTACACCAGGCGTCCTGCGAGATGCAGAGGAAAGACGGCGAGGAAGCGATGCATACCGGCGACCAGGAGTTGAATACCGTCTGCGAGAAGCACGGCGGCTACGTGCACGTGAGGTGGGTGCACATGAACACGAGGGTCTTGGTCCCTCATGTGGTGCCATGCGGTGGCGCTTGGCCGGGCGAGATGCTGCTGACGCGACAATTTCTCGCCCAGTTACACCACTGGTACCAGCCACAGGCTCAATAAAACTTTGATCTGAGTCACTAAACCCAGAAAAGGAGTCACCTCCCTCTGACTCGTCACCCTCAAACAGAAAATATCCACAGGAACTGTGAGGTCGTGGTAGAATTGGGGTAGAAAATGGGCGAGGAGGCATGGGAGAGCGTATAGGCCTCGCCATGGCATGGCGGTCATTCTCACTTTCACTGCTGCTGCTACTATCACCCGACAACTGTGTATAATCCTCATCGTTGTCTGAATCGTCAAACACACTTTCTTCACCTTCAGAGAATAATTCGTGGGCTATTTGCTCTGGGGTGAGGGACTGAGTGGTGCGTGCCCGTGAGGCGTTTGACCGTGCGCTCGCCATGGTGACTCTCGCTAAACTGAGGCCTCCCATGCCATCGGATCGTGAGCTGGATTTTTTTTCAAAATGGCCGCTGTTTACTAGAGCCCCTGGGCAGCGTATGGGACCCCCAGCTACACCGCGGGCCATTCAAATCGTGCGCGGTACCCATACACTTCATATGAAGTGAAGCGCAGTTGACTGGTAAAACGATTTACACTTCATATGAAGTGATGCGCACTTTAAGGGTTAAGAAAACTATCCAGTTTTCTATTGAAGACATCCACGTTTGTTCCAACAATATATCTTATGCTCGCTGGGAGGATGTTGAACAACTGTGGACCTCTGATGTTTATACAGTGTTTTCTGATTGTGCCTATGGCACTTCTACTCTTCACTGGTTCTTTGCATTTCCTTTCATATTGTTCACTCCAGTATGTTTTTATTTTACTGTGTAGATTTGGGACCTAGCCCTCCAGTATTTTCCACGAGTATATTATTTGATACCTCTCGTCTCCTTTCTAGGGAAAACATTTGGAAAGCTTTGAGACGATCCCAATAATTTAGGTGTTTTATCTCGTCAATGCGTGCCGTATCTGTTCTCTGTATTCCCTCTATTTCAGCAATCTCTCCTGCTCTGAAGGGGGAAGTGAGTACTGAGCAGTACTCAAGACGGGACAACACAAGTGACTTGAAGAGTACAACACAAGTGACTTGAAGAGTACAACACAAGTGACTTGAAGAGTACAACCATTGTGATGGGATCCCTGGATTTGAAAGTTCTCGTAATCCATCCTATCATTTTTCTGGCTGTCGCAATATTTGCTTGGTTATGCTCCTTAAACGTTAGGTCGTCAGACATTATTATTCCCAAATCCTTTATATGCTGTTTTCCTACTTTTGGGCATATTTGATTGTGTTTTGTACCCTGTCCAGTGGAACCTCAGTCTACGAATGCCCGAGCACCAATTTTTCAGTGTACGAAGTCCATTTCATTGTAAAATTTAACTGTGTACGAAGTTACCTCGGAGTACGAAGTGCTTGTTCTGTATCCACACGATTTAATTAACGACCTATATCTGGTTATGCCCAAGTTGTTAAATTAAAGTCACGCTGTTATCCAGAGGGTAAAAAATGTCACTAACTTTTTAGTCATATTTGGGAGGGCAACAGTATAGATGGTTAGGGATTGGATGGATGGATGGATAGTGAGGGGAGACTAGAGGGATGGTGGGGGGGGGGGGACTAGATGGATGGTGGGGGACTGGATTTATGGAGGGGGGATTGGATGGATGGAGGGGGAACTGAATGGGTGGATATAGGGAAAGACTGGATGGATGGTGAGAGGACAGGATGGATGGTGGGGTGGGACCAGATGGGGAGACCGGACAGATCATGGGGAGACTGGATAGATGATAGGGAGACCAGATAGATGATGGGGATACCAGATAGATGATGGGTGGACCGGATGGATGGCAAGCGAGTGGGAGGGGAGGCTGGTGGGGAAGGGAAAGAAAATCCTTCAGAAACACCAACACTAGAATCATGCAATGGGGGGGGGGGGGTTCATAATCACACGTGGAGGGCAAGTGGATGGGCAGGTGGTAATGTGAGTTGATGGATGAGTAGCAAGGAGGGTGGCAAAGTGGGTGGATAGGCAAGCAGCAGTGGTCGGGCAGGTGTCAGTGTGTGCAGGCGGGTAGGAAGAAGATGGTTGGCATAGTGGGTGTGCAGGCAGCAGAGTAAGCGGGTGGCAGATGGCAGACTAAAGAGGTGGGTGGCAGGGCAGTCAGGAGACAGTGGGTGGGCAGGTGGGTAGTAGGGTACTCACCTAGATGTGCTTGTGAGGGTTGAGCTCTGGCTCTTTGGTTCTGCCTCTCAACTGTCAATCAACTGGTGTACAGATTCCTGAGTCTACTGAGCTCTGTCATATCTACATTATAAACTG